AGGTGGTTAATGTGGCTTTGTCAAAGCAGTCAGTTACAAGCTCTCTTCGCTTTCCAGGCTGTCCTATTTCCCACCATCTTTATACATTCTCTGTGCTCTCTCTGCTGCTGTTCCAGCAAAGGAACAAGCACTGCATGTGCGGGGATTCATCTGTTAAATATTTACAGAATACTCATTACAGACGGCTGTGTAGACAGCTGAGTTTGAATCCTATCTTCTCCATTTACTAACTCTGAAGTTGAGCACACAAACTCCTCTAAGCCTTTTTCTTCTTAAAGTGGAAAACTCTCCCAAACAGGTGGAGGCACACAGATTTGTTTCCAAGTACCTCTTCCTAAGTGGCTGTTAATCTCTAAACTCTTTTTCTCAACTTTCCGACTACATCCCTATGTCAACAAAGCATCAAGCATATCCAATGGAAAGGAAGGTGAAAAAAGATGAGTTAAAATTTACAAATTTCTAATGACTTTGGTCTGAGTTGAGAGTAAACATTTATATTTTTGCTTAGAATAAAATGCTGAAGAAGATGGTAAAGAGGAGGAATGTTTTCTTTTTACAACTCAAAGACTTTAAGAAAAATCTCTTTAGCAGAGAGGAAGCACACCATTAAAAGAGTACTTTTGGGCCTTCATTAATTTGAGTTGAATGCCAAAGGAAATGAAATGCATACGAATAACTCTATTACAGGAAAATTTATCCAAAGAAAAAGAAAACTTAAATACAAAACTTTTTTTAAAAAAGATCTGAACTTGCCAAGTCATCCTTTCCAATAAACCTTCCAGTGTCTAAGAAGAAAAGCCAAGTAGGTCAACTAAATACTTTAAAAAATGGAACATAGTATATATTAGTTTAGGTCAAAATCATGATGAAGTAGAATTTGATTTTGATGTGATTTTTAAAATATTTTGCATTATACATCAAAGACCCCATAAAGTACAGCATACTTGTATCCATTTTACAGTTTGTACAGTGGAGTACCACTTTCCATTTTGTGTAGCAGTTTAAAATCAATAGTATATCTTCTCTTTGCTTGTATAGAATAGTTTTAACTAAACTTGAGTGGCCTTAGCATTAAGCCACCAAGACAGTCCTAAAAACCCATTATATTTCCATACAGACGCTACTTGAGGCTATTTTCACTACATGAAAGTATGTTCTTTTTATGAGATCAAAGATAGAAATCTTTCTCTGGTCTCAGCGCCAGAAATGACTATGTAATTCTTCTTTAAAAATTGCTTAAAAATTTATAGATGTGGGATTGTTTCCTTTTCCTCCTTTCTTTGGTTGTTTGGAAGCTGGGGTTAAACCGAGGCCCCTCCTCCAGCAACATTAGGGGACCCACCAGCACGCATTCTGGGTAATAACTTCATCCTTGGCTTTGCCTTATTTTTCTTTCTTTGATTTTCCCCTTCCTCAAATACCTTCAGCTCCTTAACATATATCTTGCTGAACTGCTGAACTGAAATAACAGCTAGAAGGGCGCCTGGAAGACTCTGGGTATGCAATACACATTTGCTGAACCCATGACACATATCTTATTCTTTTGTTTCTTTAAGTCATTTTTTGAAGTTGAGGGGAAGCAGATTAATTATCTTTCATTGTATGACATTATTGTTCATGTCTATGACCATTTGATGAGTTTCTTACCTACAAATAAGACCTCTAATTTATTATTGTTTTATAGTGATCTATGTTTTAACTCTGTTTCCAAGAAGTCATGATTGTGAAAATCAAGAACTCCTGTACAAGAGGATTGGTCCTATAACAGAAAGACACTCTTCGTTAATTACAGGTTCACCTGATCACGGATCTTTAGTTCCAACGCTACTTCAGCTAACTGAAGGGAGAGTTCAGAAGGTAATAGAGTACAAAGCCCCAGGTACTTATTCTTCTGTTCTTCAGCCATCTTCTCAATGTTCTGTCGGTGATTTGTAGCTTCTGTTAGGAGAATCTGAAGAAGAGATCGAAACAAGAGATTTCTGGGAGTGTGATTAATTTTTATGAGTATAGAGATGAGGCTGTACATTGCTCATTAATAATATGATTAGATATGGAATTAGAGAAACACCTTAAAAGAAAACCAAACATAGCTTTAGTGTCCGAATGCAAAGCATGCCCACTTTATACACAACGAAAGAAAATCCCATGAAGTAATACTAAATGCCTTTTATATAACACATTTCTAAAAATTTTTAGTTCAATATTATATTAAATATAAACACGTCCTTCCAATCAAATTCAGGGCTATTGTTTTTGAAACAGTGGGCACAGGGAATGAGGAATTTTTGTACCTGAAGTTCTTCAAGTTGAGCATCTATTTCTATTGTTGGATTCCCTAAATATTCCTTCGTTTCCTGAACCCAAGATTTCACAGAATTGATTTGAGTCTCCACCACTTCTCTCTCCTTCAGTTCTTGCTTTACCAACTTTCCGTTGTTCTTTACTTTCTCCTGCATGCTTCAGAGACATTGAAGGAAAAAAGCACAAGTGGATTTGAAATGAAAGGGACCCCTAATACAGGACATCATTTTATCCAAAACATAAATAACAAAGGGAAACCTACTATCTTTTTTGCAAGTAACAACACTTTCTCAAACCTGTCAGATAATTTTCAGTAACACTTAAGTTCAGCTCAAGTATAACGGAAGAATATATGTCATATGATGTGAGTAATTTATCCCTGGAAAATTGAGTTGACTTTCTCCTATGCCACTAAATGACAATTAATTTTCCTATATAAGTTAACTGGCGATTGTTTAATTATTTACTTCCTTTTTGGAAATCTACTCAAATGGTGCAAAATCATCAGTATTTAGAAGTAATGTGTAATTGGGATATTTGTGGTTCTTAGATATGTCTTTAAAAGAAGGAATCTTGATGGCTGGTCAGCTCACTTGGTTAGAAAGTGGTGCTGATAACACCAAGGTCAAGGGTTGGGAATCTCTTACTGGTCAACCAAAAAAAAAAAAAAAAGAGGAAGAAAGAATCAAGCTCTGGAAATTTTACAGTTAATAATGCTGCAACATCCAAATCTCAAGTCTTCATTCAAATTAATTTAAATATGGTACAAAGGCTTAAGTAGGTGGAGTCAGGTTACTCTGACATCATCCACAACTGAAAAAGGTGAATGTAGGATGCAAATAAGTTAGTATTAGTTAATACAGAAATTACATTACCCAATGACATTATTTTTTTTCTGTGGCCCAAGAAGTGAATCAGGCTAGTTATAGATCATTAAGATTAACTCTC